AACAGCAGCACAAGGACGTGGAGCTGCTGCAGAGAGTCCAGAGGAGGCCCCGGAGATGCTGCCAGGGCTGGAGCCCCTCTGCTCTGGAGCCAGGCTGGGAGAGCTGGGGGTGCTCAGCTGGGGAAGAGAAGGATCCAGGGAGAGCTGAGAGCCCCTTGCAGGGCCTAAAGGGGCTCCAGGAGACAAGGGATGAAGGGACAAGACAGGGGGGAATGGCTTCCCACTGCCAGAGGGCAGGGACAGATGGGATATTGGGAAGGGATTGCTGGCTGTGAGGGTGGGGAGGCCCTGGCCCAGGTTGCCCAGAGAAGCTGTGGCTGCCCCTGGATCCCTGGAAGTGTCCCAGGCCAGGTTGGAGGGGGCTTGGAGCAACCTGGACTGGTGGGAGGTGTCCCTGCCCATGAGACAAGAAGAGCTTTGAACTCAAGGCCAACCCAAACCATTCTTTCATTTCTATGATTTTACCATTGACATATTAAATCCCAAAGTCCTTTCCCACAGAACTCAGGAATGCAGAGCCTCTCTGGGACAGGCTTCACCACATGAGATGGGGGAAAGAGGATCCCCCTTCCCTCAGGCCTCTGTTGGGCAGGGGTGGCTCCTGCTGGAGGGTCACCTGCAGCCAAGGAGGAGAATGAACCCTCACCAAGGGTCAAAATTCCCTATTTGAAGGATTTCAGGAGGAATTTCCTGCTGGAAAGGGTGGTCAGGCACTGGCAGGGGCTGCCCAGGGAGGTTTGGAGTGCCCAGCCCTGGAGGTGTCCCAGGAAGGCCTGGCCGTGGCACTCAGTGCTCTGGGCTGGGGACAAGGTGGGGATGGGGCACAGGGGGATCCATGGGCTGGGAGGGCTTTTCCAACCCCAGGGATTCTGGGATTCTCTCATTTAAAGCAGTGCAGTGACCAAAGGCCAAGGTCTCCACTAATCCCAGGACATCAGCCTGGGACCCCCAGCCCTCAGCCTCAGGCCACTGCTCCAGTTTTTCCCAGCAGTGCTTCAATCCCTCCCACTAGATCAAATTTATGAATCAATACAGGAACCATCCTGTGTGGTTTGAAATGTAACCTGTCCCAAATCCACCCAAGCCCACACGTCACGGGGCCCTTTGCTGCGACGTGGGGTTCGTTCCCCAGCAACGCCACCAAACACACCAACACAGCACTCGCCAAAAGATCATAAACTAAATATCCCTCACGGTGACAGTCACCTCCAGGCCCTGCCCAGCTCCAGCAGGATGTTTGACAGCCACCTTTTGGGTGTTAGGAGAAAGCAAGGCACTAACCCAGCCCAGGAAGTTAACTCTTCTCTGCACTGCAGGGATTTAGGCAGCTCCAGTGTTCAGGGATAAACAAATCCCTAATCCCACGTTATACCAGCTCCCATTCCAATAGAATACTGGTTCAGTCTCCAGGACACAAAGGCTGTTATAAACAGCAATGACTCTTGCCCTCAGAACACTTCCAGAGGAGTTTTAACAGACTGGCCAAGGGGCTCCCACTGGTGCCCAGCCAGCTCCAGGCCTGTCCAAGGGACTCACTGGCGACATCAAACCACCAAAACTCAAGGGCTGCCCAGGGAACAGGGACAGGCACGGGGCAGTTACCAGGAAAAGTACGTTCAGGAAAGGGTTGGAGAGGGTAACGGGTATAAAAAGTGACTGGAATGCAGAAGGGAGACATCACCCTCACAGGAGACATCACCCTCACAGGAGACATCACCCTCACAGGAGACATCACCCTCACAGGAGACATCATACCCACAGGAGACATCATACCCACA